GAAAATAAAAATCAATTGATTTCATCTTCATGATGTGAAAACACTGTTTTGGAACAAAGTTTGAAATCTTTAGATATGATTATATGGAATGTCGACGTTTGTACACTGTTACACAATCAAGAACTTGGATGTTACAGTTTTTCAACCAATAATAGTTTCACGACTTCATCAACAGATGTCCATCAATGTTGTATACATGTTTCTAAGTAATTGATTAACCATTACTGGTTTCAACATCATCTGGTGAAATAGACCTAACCATGTATTCAAATTGTTTGTTTTGCAGCAATCAAATTCTTGCCACTTGTATGGAGCAATATTTTGAATGTTCTAATAATTAACAATAATACCCGTTTAAACAGCTTTTTTTACAAGCTAATATTCGGACATTTTTAATGTTTATACAAATCTATTAAATATCAGAAGGGGTTTTGTGGAGATTTTAGTAATTTTATAGAATTGAGATCATGAGTCAGTTGAAGCTAGACCACCATGGAAAATCTGGAAGCACTGGACAGCCGTTTCGTCCTATTATGGGACTCCTCAGCAATGCGTATCCACAAGTTTCGAACGCAGTTCTTAACGACCAGACCACTGAGCCGGCATCTGATGGTTTTAATGTCTAACTTCAACCAATCCTTGAAATTGAGCAACCATTCACCTAGTCATCAGTGAGTTGATATGTTGCAACAGAACTGTTTGAACTTCACTAGTTACTGATTCAAACTAGAACTCCAGGAAGTACTTCATGGAGCCGGTCACTAGTGAGCACATGATGACATTGGAGATTTCAGTATTTTCATAGTTGAAATCATGTGTCATGGGACATTAACATCGTTGGATGACGACTCAGTGGTATATCGGTTATGTGTTCTGGCGCAAGAGTGGTAAGTCTTGGGTTTCAATCTCGCGAGGTGGGATCGTAGATACTCACTGATGAAAAGTTTCATGCTAGGACGAAACGACCGTTCAATGCTTTCAGGTTTATCCATGGTGGTCTAGCCTCAATTGACTCATGATCACAACTGTATAAAGTCTATTAACCACTGATTGTCTTTAGTCCAACTAAACTAGTGAGAAAAAATATCTATCTTATAAAATGTGTTTCCATAAAGTTTTAACTAAGCTTATCCAGGTGTACAGGAAATGATCATTACCAATCTGTAGTAAGAAAAGATTAGACTCAGTAACATTCAATTAGGAGATAAATAAACAGACAGCTTTATTGACTCAAGTTTTTTAACCAAGATTTATTTGAATAATCAGTATATTTGTTGTTTTGTGTAAATGGGTAGAAAAGTTGTATTTCTGATGTTTCGTGACTTCATGCAAGCTACTTCCTCAGAATGAATTCGGCTATTTATTTACTTTGAAAAAGTCCCTTATTATTAATAACTTTTAAACTAATGTTCGATTTATCTGAAACCATCAAGTCCAATATTGGCATTGATACCTATAAGATTTATCTTGTCTAACATTATTATAGATGTTTTCTGATAAGGGCTTAAACACTGAAAATAATGTTAACTACATCGATCAACAAGGTTACATTACAAAGCGACTTTTTGGTGGAGTTTTGTTCTCTGAGTTGGATGGCTTGATCGTGAAGCTTTCATCGTCCTTCTGAACGACCTGCTTGAATATCTGGACTATCTGTTCTCGCCATCTAGATATTTCAACAAATTATCTATTTCCTTATCTGTTTTAACATATCATTATATAAATAAATTGAAAAATCTATTCAGTTGAGTTTGTGAAAAGTTAACGTCCTTTCGCTCTACAAGTTACAGAAATGTACAACCGGAGACATCGTTATGGCTGGCTGGCAATATGCATTGAAAAGAATGAATATTATTCAGATGTCGACTTTTGAAATGACAATATTCAACTGGCGGTCACTCAATATTTATCTTCAATATCGATCAAGATGTGAAAAACTGAAACTCGCTGAAATACTTTGTTTTGAGAATTCTATAGTTTACGAAAACTATAATATTGAATAAAGCTAATAATAATATTAATCATGTACACAAGAACAGTTAATCATATACCACTTTTTTTAAAACGGAACATGCTGGGATAAGATGGAGGTTCGAGGTGGTCAACAAGAAACCCTTGGCCCAAAATTTCATGCTACTTCTCACTTCTCAGCAAGGTGTACCTGTAATCTTAAGGAAATCGGTGCTCCCTGACGGACTCGATCCCGTGTTACCCATGTTCGCATTCAGAGACGTTACCACCGAGCTATCCGGGTCGCGAGTGACCCTCTGTAGGGCTGAGATGTAATCACAATTGGTTGATCATTAAATGGTGACCAATGTCATGTGTATCAAGTCCTTCTTAGTGCAGATCGAATGCTATTTTTATTATAGTTTTAGTTTAAGCTAAGAGTAATTGTAATCTCAAGTATGTTATACTACTATACTATACTATACAGTAGTATATGCTTATAAAAAGGCTTATACAAGATAGACTGACTCAGTATATATTTCATACATTCTATTTAGGTGTAGAAGGAGTAACTTACCATGTCGGTTTCTATTATTGATGTAAATTACCTACATGTTGAAAAATAATTTAACTATTTTTTTTATAACCAAACTATTTTGTTTGATCTTTTAACAATGTTTAAAACAATAAATTTTCTAGAAGGATTGTTTTAATTCACCCGCGAAATCATGTTTCAAAACTTAAACCACAATAATGTGGTATGCTAGAAATTTTGTAATTCATTAACATATATGTTAATTAACCGTAAATACTTTTCTGGATATTTTGCATACTGGTTTTTTCTAGTCATTAAACTATTAAATATGTAATGTAACTAAATGTAATGACTGTTTAATATGAAAGTTAATTAAGGAATGTTTAAACCAGAGATCTAATTTCTGAATCTCCGACTTGCACAACTATCAATGTAGGCATATATCATTTTCATAGTTGAAATCATAAGTCAACTGATGTTAGACCATTATGGAAAACCTGGAAGCACTGGACGGTCACTTCGTCCTATTATGGGACTCCTCAGCTCTGACTTCTAGGTTTTCCATGGTGGTCTAGCTTGTATTGACTCATGATATCAACTATGAAATTACTGAAATTTCCACAAAACCGCTTCTCATATAACATTTCTTCAATTAAGATACTATGATCTTATATCATTTTTATTAGGTTCTCCTTGTTTTCTACGCATCAATGAACAAATGAAAGTAAATGGTAGTGATTCAGTATATTATTGAAAAAAAGGTTGTTAATATCAGGGTTTTTTGTTAGATTACCTTAAGTTTTCTCGATCATTGCTGCTACCTTGACGTGGTGGTCAAGCTTGCCTATCGTAATGAACCAATCGAGTTATACTGGCTGGAACAATCGTTCTTGTAGTTCTACTATATCAGGCATGTTGGTTGGACAGCGGTAAGACTAAAAGCAGCAAACCCAAGATTCAAGAGCGAAGTTGTACTTCCGACTGTACAGAAGTGTGACGGCAGTAAGGTTTTTTCTACAGACAACCAGCATAACAGCGAAGCTGTCTTCGGAAAACCAAGGGTGAGTTTTGAGAATTTTGACTCTAAAAATGCACACCTCACCTTATCCCACAAATATCCATCTCCGACGGTAAGGTCCTATCAAGTACGGAGCTAACAAGAAAACTACTCACAAAAGGATTTTATATTACGGATCTCTATCAGTTATCCCTTGGGCACTGTGGTCACGCTCTCAGGTTACTAAGACCACCTGAAATCTAATTTCCTTTTCAGTTACCTCTAGAAGAACCATTTTACGGTTTGAGAAACCGCCTTACCTCTAACACCATTCAAGATCACTGTATTCATAATGAATCTCAAGTTTTACATTATGTAAATTAGGTTAATGATTTATTGAATGGTACTGTATAAGAACTCACTTATTAAATTTACGGAAACTTGTTAGGCGTTTTCTTCATTTCAACAATAAAATTCCTTAAATTCAAAGAAGTTGTCTTCTCTTTTCATATTTAGTTTAAACAATATTCATAGTAAATTCAAATTAAGATTCAGAGAATATGAAACATTATATAAGCGGGGTATTCAAAACACGGCAACTTACGAACGTCAAGACAGTTCTACTGTATGGAGCTAAAACGTGGAGAACTATTACGACCATCATCAGGAAGGTACAAGTATTTATAAACAGTTGTCTACGCAAAATACTCAACATCCACTGACCGGATGCTATCAGCAACAGCGTTTTATGAGGGAGGATGAACTACATTCTAGCTGAAGAGGAAATTAAGAAAAGACCTTGGAAGTGGATAGGACATACATTAAAGAAATCATCAATGTGCATTACAAGGCAATCCCTAACTAGGAATCGAGAATGGAAGCGGAAAAGAGGAAGGTCGAAGAATACATTACTCCGGGAAATAAAAGCAGATATGAAAAGGCTGAATAACAACTTGAACGAACTGAAAATTATTTCCCCGAACAATGTTGGATGGAGAATACTGGTGAGCGGCCTATGGTCCTTGACGAGGGGTAACAGGCGTAAAAAAACAAAATAGCTTACTTATCAATTGTATAATGGTATCCAATGTGTAAAATTCAATATATATACATATAATGACATGAAGTTTATTCATTATTTATATATACACACGCATACACACACATATATATATATACAAATTACACTGGTTAAAACAAAATGTATCTAAGCAAAAATTCAGTTTCTCACTGCACAAAATCTTTAATTGTCTACAGTTACATATCAAGAATAAGGAGACAGTCATCATGAGACACTGATCATTGGACCGAATCAAGTTGAATTGAGATTATTTGTTTTAATTATTACTATCATTATTACTATTACTAATATTATTGATTAATTCCCTTGCTCATAAATGTTGTTGTTTACGACGTTGATATCGTTGATGACAATGATGTTGATGATGTTGAAGATGCTGACGATGACGTAGAAGATGATGATGATGATGTTGATGTTGATGAAATAGTTTAGTATTCTTATTCTGATTCGGGACTATTTGTTTTGCTAATAATATCATTATTATTATTATTATCATTATTATTACTAATATTATTGATTAATTCCCTTGCTCTTAAATGTTGTTGTTTACGACGTTGATATCGTTGATGACGATGAGGATGTTGAAGATGATGACGATGATGTAGATGATGTGGATGAAGTACTTTAGTATTCTTATTATTATTATGATAACATTTACATGATCTAATACTATTAAAAAATAAAATTTTTAATTTTTTTCTAAATGCATTACTCATAAAACAATAAATTAATGGATTTGACATATTATTTAAATAATAAGTATTATATGCAAGTAAATTAAATTTTATTAATTTATTAGCTGTTAATAATGCCGGGGTAAATACAATTATATATACAACAGCTATAACAAATAATACACTAGCTGAACGTATCTCTCTCCATAATGTACTTTCTGTTATATTTTTAATAGATATATTCATTTTAATTCGATTAGTTATACTTTTACGATGATCCCGATGATGTTGAGAAGGAGTTGAAGGAGGAGGAGGATTTGTTGAATGTTCAATGTTGTTATTATTATAAGTAGTATTATAAGTAGTATCTTGATTGTTATTGTTTAAATCATTTGATGACATGATAGATTTCTGATTTATGTTTGAATGATTCATTATTACTGTTTTATATGGGATATTATTACTGACCATCGGGGAATAACGTTGAGCTCGATGAGTTTTAATAACAACACGTAATATTAATGAATATAATATAATCACTGATAAAATAGATAAAATAAAACTAGCTGTATTACCTTTTTGTAATATATCATAAGTTAATATTTGTATATAAGTAACATTAGATATTTCTGGTGTATCACAACATTGTTGAATATCTGGTTCATCTTTAGTTACACCTAAACTATGATGTAATGCACCAAGTATACCATATACAATACAAAAAATTGCTAAACTTAAAGTTAAATATTTGGCACGTTTCATTGTTAATATACGACGTAATGGATGACATATAGTTAGATAACGTTCTAATGCAATAGCTATAATTAACAATGAACTAAACATGATGTTACATATATTTAAAAATGCATGCGCTTTACACCATATATCTGTCGAAGGTTGTAAATGTATATATTCCATATAGAATGTTAATGGTACAACAAAACAACATACCATTAAATCAACACATGCTAAGACAAGAATAAAAAATGTTGGTGTACCTGTTGTTTTAGTAAATAATTGTTCATTAGATTCATGAATTTGTATAATATGACTATTATGATTTCCATTATCCTCATTAAGATATGATGTATTACATAATTCATTAGTATTTAATAAACTTAATTTTTGTTTATAATAAATATGTCTATATTTTAAATGTAAATGTGGCCAAAAATGTTGTTGTATATAAACACCTAATACAAGTAAATTACCAATTGTACCTAATAATGATACAGAACCAAGTAGAATTAATGTAGATAACCAGATTGGATCAATGGATTCATTAAATTCAAATAATTGAATAGTTGAATTTGAAATATTCATGAATAAAAATTATAGATGGTTTTTAAATTTAATTATTAAAATAAATTAAAACATTTTAATTTAGGAGTATTCAATAGCGTAGAGAAAACACTTATATAAGTGTGTAACAAATTTATTGACCAATCAAAATGCAAATTTTAATTCTAATTATTTGATTGGTTAAATAATTTCATTAAATCATTTTGATTGGTTAAAATCATTGATCATTTAAACCAATAGAATTTGTATGAACTAAATGTAAAATAAATTGTATTTTAATATGTAACTAAAATGTTTACAAAAGTGATTGTATATAGCCAGTGGCAATAAGAAAATGAAAATTATATTTGTGAAGTTTTGTAATTTACTGTAAACCACTTCTTAAGAGTAAATAATATTGAGATGTGGTTTCATTAATCAGAAATACAAACTAGGACAGATGGATTCACTGTAATGTAAGCCTTATGGTCTTTTAAGAAAGTTTAATATATTAATCCAAAAAGCAGTTGCAAACTCCTAACGAAATCATGCTCATGAAGTTTTATATTAAAGGAAAGTTTGAGTGTTAACTATAAATTCTATTTAATATTTTCGAAAATTTTGATGTCTTTAGACAAAATAAATTTATTTGTATGAATCAGTAGTGTTCTATCGGTTAAGTGTTCTGGCGCGAGTCTGGTAGGTCCTGAGTTCGAATCTTGCGAGACGGGTTCGTAGATTCACACTGCTGGGGAGTCCCACAATAGGACGAAACGGTTGTCTAGTGCTTACAGGTTTTCTATTATGGTCTAGCTTCAATTGACATATGATATCAACTACATTAAAATTACTGAAATCTCCACAAAACCCTCTTCTGAGAATCATTAGTAAAGTTCAGAGAATGAATAGACATCTTAAATTCGATTGTATAAGCATCACTTTTCATTGTAAATGAAGACACAATATAGGATAAGAAGGAACTACTTTCTTTCCAATCTGATAGATACAGAACATCAAAATTGACTACAATGCAGACGTTTGAGAGAATAATCGTAATTCATTCAGTTTGTCCCAAGTTTCAGACACCTTACCATACAGAATAATTCCGTCTGACAGAAATCAGTACAATGCTTCTCATAATTTAACCGTCAATATACACAATACTTTCATTTATTAACAAATCGAATAAATTTGATCATTTTACGGATGATCTGGTATTTGATGCCTCTACTTTTGAAATAGTCATATTCATGACCATTTAAATTGTTTGGATCGATAAAGAACACTCTACTTAGGCGGTTTTTTGCAGATTTGTGTTTTCTGTGTAAGTTGTTTCTACCACAGATTGTTATCATTTACGGTATCATCGGGAACCAGAAAGCAATAGACGAATGTTTTGTATCTAAATGGGACCTAGCAGTAGTGATCACACATGATCTCTTAGTATTTTCGAATAAATAAGTTAATAAAGAACAACTTCAGTTGTTAGTTCAAATTGATGATCAAAAAGAATAACTTGATGCAAGACAAAGAGATATTTTTAACTAAGTCAGAATAATGCTAATAAATGTTAAGATAACTGGTATATAATGTGTGCTTGAATTAACTTGTACATAGAATGAAATTACTAAACAAACTTTCAGTGCAAATAAATAATAACAAGAATAATACCGATTCACTTGGACAGAATAAGAGGTTTTTCATAAACAATGCTTGGAGGCGATGAACTGTGTGACTGAGAACCCGTCACATTGACATCGATGAATTTATTCTTAAGATCCACTTAAATCTTGCTGTTCGAAACCATAATAAACTTTAAATTCTTTTCACGGATTACATTCTTTACGTACAGCATTTTCTACTACTATTGGCATTTCTACAGTTCTGGTATTTTCCTTGAAACTTTCATCATACTGTACCAATATGATGTGACAACTTTAACAAATCCGTATATATGACTGACGTATTCACAAAATACGTAAGTTTTCAAATGACAATAAGATAAAGTAAACTTTAACTAATGACAATTAAATCAAACATATTAAAGTTAATAAAGTATAAGGGGTTTGATTGTGTGAGATGATTATTGGGTCATTGAACTTGAGATCGGCTAAATATATAGTAGAATAAGTAAGATTCTCTTGAATACAAAAACTTCAGTTTTTGAATCTTCATGGATCATATTTCTTGCATTTTTTTTAATGATAATTAATGGCTTTATTCAATATTATAATCTGGTACAATATAGAATTCTCAGCATGAGTTATTTCAACAAGTTTTTTTACCAAAAAAAAAACACAAAACAAAAAAACCCAGTAGCTACTGCGCCACCACAGGTCTTTTTATTGTTTGATCGATCCTGACGATAGATATTAAGATCACGTAATGATACTAGGCAATCATCCTGTAAGTCAGTCAACCAAGATTCTTGAATTGTGATGACACCACAATTACGATACATGTTTTGACTTAGCAGAAATTGGAGATAGTCCACCTTGTTAATTAGAGATCGACAGTTAGAGTTAAGCAACTCGGGAATCGACATTTGATTAATGTTTATTCTCTCTAAAGCATATTGCCAAACACCACAATGTCTCTTATTGTACTTGTTTGTAATTTTTGCAGCGAAAGGACGTAAGCTTTTCATAAACGCGCATGTATAGGTTATGCGATCAAGAGACATAATGATAGGTTAAAACCAATTTTTAAAAAACCCAGATAACTTGTTGAAATATTTAGATGGCAAAAACAGGTAGCCCAGGGATTCAAGCAGGCCGCATTGTTATTTCTTTCATAACTTCCATACTACAAACGTATATAGTTCTCATGTCTAATAGTATAATTCATGCTTTCCAGTCTACTGGATACTAAAACCACGGTAAGTAATATAAAGTCTGTATTAAAGTATCAACCAAATAAATAGGTTATTTCTGCTCTGCATGTCCGTCAGACCAAAGATATGATAAAACAGCTTTACGAATAATCTAGCCTCTTTGTAATCAGAAGGGGGTTTTGCGGAGATTTTAGTAATGTTATAGAGTTGAGATCATTAGTTGATTGAAGCTAGACCACCATGGAAAACCTGGAAACACTGGATGGCTGTTTCGTCCTAATATGGGATCCCTTCTGATAATAATCATGTGCTCACTAGTGACTGGCTCCATGAGGTATTTCCTGGAGTTCTAGTAAGAAGCAGTAACCAGTGGATTTCAACCAGGTCTGTTGGGAAATATCAACTCACTGATGACATTGGTGAATGGTTGCTCAATTTCAAGGATTGGTTGAAGTTAGACATTAACACCATTGGATACCGGCTCAGTGGTCTATCAGTTATTTGTAATCGTTTAAAAAAGTTCCAATCAGTTTAACAACAAAAATCCAAATATTAAACATGAAGTAGACTAACTGCATGCATTAGCACCATGTTGTAATCACTCATTCAAAGATATTTCTTATTGTTACTGAACAGGAATAAAAACCATAGTTAGCTTACCTTCATTGTCTACCCATCAGTGAAAAAGAAATCAAATCCACAAGTAATATCAAAACTTGATCTTAGTCGGAATCATGTTAGTTTCTTTTTTTTATTGATAATGGCTTGTTGTGTAAGTGTAGGAATTCTATGTTTCCCCTTCCCCCCCCTCAAACATTTTTAAAAAAAAATCATATTTTCATCAAGAAAAATAATTTATTTAATCAGATACTTAATTTATCTTACCTGCTGTGACTAAAAGTATGCAGTTAAAAAAAACTGTTAGATAAAGATGAAAAAATTGCAAGAACAGATTCCCCCCCCCAACATTTTTATTTGATTTGTACGTAGTACACATAACGATTAACATTGGAATATCTCTTCGATTAAAATATGTAATGGTATACACCATAAACTGACTGAAATGGTGAACGGTCGCTCAAAATCGTGGATTGGTTGAAGTAAGACATTAACACCGTTGGATGCCGGCTCAGTGGTCTATCGGTTAAGTGCTCTGGCGCGAGACTGGTAGATCCTGGGTTCGAATCTCGCGGGTGCGGGATCGTGGATGCGCAATGCTGAGGAGTCCCATAATAGGATGAAACGGCCGTCCAGTGCTTCTAGGTTTTCGATGGTGGTCGAGCTTCAATTGACTCATGATTTCAACTGTGAAAATATTAAATGAAAAAGTTAGTGAGAATTAAGAACCACTGATCAACATTATCATCGTATTATATATATGTCTATTTAATAATATATAGTAGAAATTATGGCGAGACTTTAATTTATGGACGACCTTTGAACGAATCTTAAGTGACCTTGAGAAATATTAGCCAATCAGTAAACCGTCAGCATAGAGTAATAACGTATTATCCAAAACCATAGAATTAAAGGCGATACACTGCTTTTATATGGTTCAAAAACTTGTCAAAGTTAGAAAAAGGTTCGAAGGTTCTAAATTCGTAATGCATAAGGGAGAGGAACTCATCTTTATTGGCTCCATAATAGTTGGTCTCTGGAGCCATGATAAGGTCATATAAACGCTCTCAGCCTCGACCACATAGTTTCAATATTGTTTGTGTGTAGTACGGTTGTGTATGTTTATCATTTTTATTATGGATATGTCCCTACAATATTCATACCATTGAACAGCCGAAGCTTCAGTAACATCTGTGATTATTGCAGCCAATGTTACTGGAGCTTTTGTTATACAGTTGGCGACAATTATTTTAATATGCCTTAGTCTCATACTGTATCGAGAGAAAAAAGTTCCTATTCTAACAGACTTCTTCCTCTAACAAGATAACATTATCAGGATAGTCTGCACAAGATCTACAAGTCAATTGATTGCCGCAATTACAAATAAAGGAACTTCTTAATAGTCCCATTTATTGTAGCCGCTTAATTGTCACGTTTTCTCTAAAATCCTCTGCGAACAGACTGTACATCAGCATCTGATACTGAAATCGGAGCCGTGACTTTGAAATCCCTCAAACTCTTTTGATTGGCTCGTCCATAAATTATAGTCTCGCCGAAATAAGTTATAAAATATCACAAGTCAACTAAAGTT